GGGGGGGGGGGGTGTGTTGTTTTTCATCATTCCCTTGCTTTTTACATTATTACTGATGTGTATTACCTCTGAATGTATTAATATACAGAATTATTACATAGAATCAATATATAGCAATATATTAATATATGGTTAGTCTTGCCTGCTTTTTGAACCTTTATAATAAATGTATGAACATGTATGTATCCTATAATTTCTCAAATTTTATGTTTCTGAGATTCTTCCACATTGACACATGTAGCTATAACTTACTCAATTTCACTGCTGAAAAAGTAAACTTATATAAAGAAAGCAAATTTTATACATTCTTCTGTAAGTAGGAATTTCAGTGTTTAAATGTTTTTGCTATTTAGAGGAATGCTGTTATAGAATGAGATCTACCACATATCTCTGGGTATACTTGTGACAAAGTTTTTCTGAGATACTCAGGAGTTCTGGTTGTTACACATTCTTGCTACTACAAATTCTTAATTCTTACATTATCAACTCTAGCTATTTTCCTTTTTGAAAAAAATTACTGTTATGGGCATAGATGGTGGTGATGGCTGCACAACAATGTGAATGTATTTAATACCACTGAAATTGTACACTTAGAAATAGTTAAAATGGTAAATTTTATGCTGTGTATTTTAACAATAAAAAAGAGAAAAACTGAGTTTAAAAATCCATTAAAAAATCTATAAAAGAATATCTACAAAGCCCCTCCCTACTCTCAAATCACATAACCACTCAATTATATATTGTCCCATTTGTTTTAAAGTTTCATTAAAAATACATATATTTAACTCTGAAATCTGATTTTATGCACTGTATAAAGAGGATGTGATTTTGTTTTTTTCCAAACAATGAACTGTTTCAGAAATAATTACTAACTACCTCATTATTTCCTTTGTTTTTATTTTATTTTTTTAGATATGGAATGTTTCACAAACTTGTGTGTCATCCTTGCACAGAGGCCATGCCAATCTTCTATGTATCATTCCATTTTAATATGTATATGTGCTGCCAAAGTGAGCACTCTTCATTGTTTTTATTTTATTTTTCAAAATATGTCTTTATTGATTTCGGAGAGAGGAAGGGAAAGGGAGAAAGACAGAAACATCAATGATGAAAGAGTTATTGATCAGCTGCCTCCTGCATGCCCCCTACTGGGGATCGAGCCCAAAACCCAGGCATGTGCCCTGACTCGGAATCGAACCGCTATCTCCTGGATCATAGGTCAATGCTCAACTGAAGAGCCACACAGGTCAGGCTCTTCATTGTTTTTAAATGCTACCTTAATAATCTAAATATATATGTCCATTTGAATTTGTATCTGAATTTTCTATTCTGTGCCACAAGTTTGTCTAGTATATAATTTCTATGCTATTATAATTATTATGAATTTTCAATGTTTTAATATCTGGCAGTCCAGATACTAAAGGGAGTCTGGACATTAAAATATAAGGACAGTCCCCTTATACTATTCTTTTTTCAAAAATTATTGGTATTACCCAGAACAATTTTTTCCCAGCCTTCCCCCCACCACCCCAACAATCCCTTTGAAAGTCTAACTGGAACTCCATTATGTTTGTAAATTAATTAAGGGTGGAAAACTGAAGCTCAGTGGGGTAAATTCTTTGGCCAATAAAATTCACATGATCAAAAGAGGTGACTCAAAGACTGGAACACAGGTTTTCTGGTTCCTAAATCAATGTTCTCTCCACTAAAACAGTGCTTCTCAAATTTTAATATGCATATGAATCACCTGGTACTCTTGTTAAATGTAGATTCTGATTCAGGAGGTATGAAGTCAGGCCCAAATTCAGCATTTCTAACAAGCTCCCAAGGGATGCTGATGTTGCAGTCTGAGGACAAGATTTTGCATAGCAAGGATACTATATCTTTCAATCCACATAGTGCTGATGGGATGCTACCTATTGGTAGTTAGATCTCGTGTGTCCCTGCTTAGAAGAAACTGTCACTAGAAAGAAAACTTCTTTCTTGGCTTGGGCTGCCTTGCCATCCATCAAGCCTAGTTGCTGTTTTTCCTAAGGATATCAGAGCAGTTGCCTTGTTCCTGAAGTCCACCACTGTGTAATTTGTCACAAGAGGATCCACAAAGCTGATCATGTGGTGCTGGCATAGTCTCTGCTCTTGGGTAGAAACCTTGTTGGTAATGATGTCTAGGCCTTCATAAACCTAGGAGAAAGAAAATTAGTATGAGAAAGTCATCAGCCTCCATTAAATGTACACCTGATGGGTGGAAATGGTGATCTGTTCCTCCCTCCAGCCAAACACTTGACTGACCCAAAGCACCAGAGTAGACGTGATCTAACCAGAGCATAGCCAGATCCACAAAACCCAAGACAAAGGAAGCAGAAGAATACACAACATTGACTTTCTTATCAAATACAGGTTTTCCCCACTATCCCAAAGTAGAGTGTTCCTACGAAACTTTTCGTAAGATAAAATGGGGTAAAGGGAAAAAGAAATTATCATCAATTTTTATCTTTCCCAGACCCCAAATTCAATGCATGTACAACGTCTTTATTTTGTTCACCACAATTGAAATGCTTAATTACGTCCAGTTTTACACTAAGCATAACACCCTTACGAGTGCTGGCTTTGCTGATACCTTAGGACACATCTTGCTAATGGATGCACAAAATAAATCGAGATAAAGCATAGATGTTCATAGAAACCATTTGAAGCTATGATGGCTTGATGCTGAAATGATGGGTGTAGTTCCCAGGGAAAGAGCTTGATGCTGCCTTTATAACAACTTGCTGCAAAAAAAAAGATGAACTGTATTTTCATTTTTTGCCTTTTTTTCATAAAAGCTAACTTTTTCTTTGGATTTCTTCCAGTTAGCAAAAACAGTACAGGTCTCCCCCACCATCTGAAAGAAGGGCATTTCTATGAAACCTTTCATAAAACTAAATGGTGTAAGGCAAAGAAGCAATTACCATTAATTTAAAAGCCTCTTCCTTAATTAATTTAAAATCCTCTTCAGATTTCTTTCAGTTAGCGAAAACAGGTATTAATGTAGATCATACTTGTAAAAGTGAAGTGTTTTTAACGTGAACTTTTGAAAAGGAGGGATACCTGCAGTGGCTATTAGCTCAGACTTAAAGTTTAAAAGGGTATGCAAATCAGTGCCCAAATGAGAACTAATTCTTCAAGATTAATAGGAAGTCCTTTGGCCTGAACTTGAAGCATCTAAAAATGGATAGGCTGTTTCATTTATTCTACTTATCACAACTCTCCAGAAAGGTAACATTTTGCATTGCTCATAGTTCTACTTCAAATGCTTACGTATCTTGGCTCTGAAAAGTTTTCAGAATTTGTAATAGATTGGCTCCATTTGTGGAGAAAGGGCCTATCTACAAGAATATATATAAAACACAAAGTCAACTATACTTTAGTAATAAATAGAACACACATACATACTTTGAAGTCAGACCCCTAATACTGCTGTACTCTGTTGGAAATACTGTGATGTATCCAAATTACTGCTTCAGAGGGTCAGCTCATACAGTCTAAATATTCAAAGGCAATATCCTATCTCTGTAAGCTCTTGATATGCCAATTCAACTAAAAAGTTCAAGTGTACTTTTTTTAAATGCAAGGTCTCAGATGGAGAACAGATCTAGTTTGAAAATACTAGTTTGAAAACAGGGATGAATGCTTTGAGATTAAATGTTCTCTCTGTAATCACTGATTCTACAGGGAGCGGTGAGTGAACAAATAATAAGTTCCAAAGAGCCCACAAAGATGTTAAAAGCACTTTTTTCTCACATTTCCCTTTACTTATATGGGTGTTATATAAGTACAGTACAGTACAATGGTTAGAAGGAAGGACCCTGGCGCCAAGCTGCCTGGGATCAATTCCTAGCCCTGCTGCTTACTAGTTATTTGTACTTGGAGTGGTCAGTTACTAACCTCTGTGTGACTCAATGCCTCATCAGTAAAATGAGAATGATCTATCTCACAGGGTTGTTGTGTGGATTAAATGAGTTAATACATGTTAAGCACTTAGTTTTTTGCTTGGCACACCATAAATGCTACAAAAGAGTCATTATATAACTACTTATACCAGGACCACTGCCACTACTACTATCACAACAACACAGGGAGAATGGGAAATAATTTTAGTGTCACTATCATTCTGAAGCCTCTGTGCTCTTAGCTACTGAGGCTATTTATCCAACAAGGATATAAGCTATCTTCAAGTAAAAGAAAACTTAATAAAACAGTACACAGAAAAAATACAGATCACAGAGAAGGAACCAACTCTGCCTTTAACTCATTTCATCTGTGCCTGACAACAGACTTGCATTCTTACACCTGAATATTAACAGAATCTTAAATCACAGAGTATTCTTTCCTGTATATTTTGAACAAGATTTCCTTGTGATGTTATAAGTGCCATAGGGTATACTGTATACTGGGGTCTTCCATGCAAATTAAAACAACCAGAGGGGGAATAGGAGTAATAACTGTGTGTTCCCCTCCCCCTTTCCCACAGCCTTTAATTGGCTCTGTTGTAGCGTAGAGTTCCACATGACCCAATGTTAAAGAATTTACATAGCAACAACTCGATTTTGCCAGATTTCTTAACTCTGTAATTGGAGTCTCATTTTTTAACACTGAGATTAATGTTAAGGAAACACATAGCTGCAAATGTACAATTATCACCCCCCCACCTCCAAAATGCCAAAATGTAAACATCTCAGAGACCAGTACATTCTATCGGATATGTACATTTTCATCCCATGTCCTGTCTTTAGGTGTATCTTCAAGAGTCCCTTAAAATGGCAAGTTAAAACAAACACAAAAACCTAAATCAATCAGAAGGTAACCTCAGATCTAGGCTCACCTTATTTACTAAAGGAAGTGGCCTACTGCACTGTTTATGTTATATACAAATGCCAACAAGTATCAGAAAGGAAAGAGTATTAATGGTTTAAAGAAAGAAGAGTTCTTGCCACGCCCAGTGTAGCTCAACTGGTTGAAGTGTCATCTTGTACACCAAAAGGTGGCAAGTAGATTCCCAGTCAGGACACATACCCAGGTTGCGGGTTCAATCCCTAGTTGGGGGTGTGTGGGGGAGGCAACCCGTCGACGTTTCTCTCTCTCTCTCTCCCCCTTCAATAAAAACATTTTTTAAAAATCAATTAAAAAATAGAAAATAATAAATGTTCATGAGAATATAGAGAAATTGAAACACCTGTATACTGTTGGCGGTGATGTAAAAGGATGCAGCTATAGGAAACAGTAGGGCAGTTCCTCAAAAAATAAAAAATACAATTACTATATGATCCAGCAATTCCACTTCTGGGTAGTAACTACCTAAAATAATGAAAGCAGGGAGTCAAACAGATATTTATACACAACTATGTTTATAGCAGTATTATTTACAATAGCCAAAAGGTGGGAGCCACCCAAGTGCCCATCATGGATGAATGGATAAACAAAATGGATTATATAAATACAAAGGAAGGAAATTCTGAGATATGCTATAACATAGATGTACTTTGATGACATTATGCTAAGTGAAGCCAATCACAAAACAACAAATACTGTATTATTACATTTATATGATGTACCGAGTAGTCAAATTCAGAGAAGGTAGAATGGTGGTTGCCAGTGGTTGGAGCAGAGGAAAGGGGAGTTAGTGTATATTGGATACAGAATTTCAGTTTGGGAAGATGAAAAAAGCTCTGGGAAAAACAATTTGGGATGATGAAAAAGACAGAGGGTGATGATAGTGGCAGGCTAGTAAAAAAACACAATACAAGTAACTGGCCAATATACCCTTAAAAGACCACTAATTAACCTAAGACCTGAAATTTCTTTCTTGTTTACCAGACTGACAACAATGAAAAAGACAGGCAATACACAAATTGCTAGGGTGAGGGGAAACAGACATACCACTGGTAAAAACCTGCTTGAAAGCAGTCTGGCTATATGTATCAAAATGTAATGTGCAACTCAACAACAAAGAAAACCAACCCAGTTTAAAAATGGGCAAAGGAACTCTGTGGATATTTCTCCAAGGAAAATATACATATGGCCGACAAACACATGAAAAGATGCCCAACATCGTTAGTCATTAGGGAAATGTAAATCAAAACCACAATGAAGATACCAGTACACACCTATTTGAACTGCTAAAATTAAAAAAAAAAAGACACACCAAATGCTGGAGAGACTACAGAGGAACAAAATTCTCATTCACTGCTGGTAGAAATGCGAAATAGTAGAGCCATTTTGGAATAGTTTAGTAGTTTCCTATAGAGTTAAACCAGTCCTGTAAAGTTAAACAGTAATATACATAAATGTTTATAATAGCTTTCTTTATAATAAACTGGAAATCCAGATGTCCTTTCATAGGTGAATGGTATCATCCATACAAGGGAATAATACTCAGCAATAAAGAGTAATGAACTCATGCAGCAACATGAAAGAATTTTAAATGTATTTTGCTAAGTGAAAAAAGGCAGGCCTCAAAGGCTGCATATTGTATGACCTGCATGTATATAACATGCTGGAAAAGGCAAAACTATAGGGATGGAAAACAGATCAGTGCTTGCCAAAACTTGGCTAGGTAGACAAGTTGACTATAAAGAGACTACACAAGGTAATTTTAAAGTGATGGAACTGTTCAGTATGGTACTGAGATGGTGGATACCCAACTGCCTGCATTTGTGAAAACCCATATAAGTATAGACAACAAAAAATGCACTTTACTGTATGCAAATTTTAAAAAATAACCAGAATGGCTGGGGAACCCAGGATAGAATGCAGGCTGCAACAAATCAATCTATTTTACAAATGTATGACATGACCTCAGTTGTTAAAACCAAAAAGGTTTAAGGAGACTGCTAAATGTCCCCTGAAGTACAAAATTATCTGACACTGAGACCAATGATGTAGACTTGTATACATTAACATATAAAGATATCTGTAACATACTAAGAGAAAGGGGGGGAACAGGACACAGAACAGCATGAAATGTATGCATCAACTTACATAAAAACATATACACATGGATGAAACTTGAGGATATTATGCTAAGTGAAATAAGCCAGTTATAAAAAAAACAAATACTGTATCATTCCACTTATATGAAATACTTAAGAGTAGTCAAAATCATAGACATGGAAAGTTGAATGATGATTGCCAAAGGCTGGAAG